ATGACTCACAAAAATATTTTATTTATGTCTTCACTATGAATCATTAAATATTTCAAATATTTAAATCTCATCCAAATTTTGATATTTATTAGTTTGATTAGTAATACTTTTCTCGAGAATTATCAAAACAGTTAAGAGTCCAGTGCCAAACACTGACGAAAGTCGAAAAACTCCTACCGCCCAATGAGTTTTCTATTGTTATAATTTTAAAGCCTCTTATTTTTCAGAATAATTTTTGAAAAGAAATTTTTTTGACTTTTTTAAAATTTAAAAGGAAATAAATTTCAAATTTTTTCGAAAAAATATTCGTCAAAATATTTGAGGTATTTAGTAAATGATTTTTTTGATTATTAACAATTTCCTTCCAAAAATAAATAAAAAATAAATAAAATATCCAAAATTCATAAAATGTATACAAAAATATTTTTTTTCTTTTTATTACATTATCTTTTTAATTAAAGCGGGTCAATTAATAGAATTAATTTTGAACTTTAAAAGCTAGTTATTATTGAAATTTAAATTTTTATTACAATTTTATTCCGAATCATAAAGAAAATAATATATTATAGTAATTTAAATTTTATATTTTAGTGTCCCATATTCCTTAAAAATCATAGAAAAACGGGTGGATGAAAATCAACTAGAAGAAAAATGTAAAAGAAAGTTTTGGAATTAGATAGAATTTGCTTCTTGAACTTAAAGAATGATTTAGAAAAATAGATTCCAAATGAAATATAATTGTAGCTTATTAAAAAAGAAAATCAAAGAAATAAAAATATTAAAATCAGCGACATATGTGTTGGTTTGTAATATCATCAAGCTCACAGCCAGCACAACAATTGTCATTTTTAGGGTCACACTTTCCATTAAGTTGGCATCTTTTTTTGCAGTATCCTGTGGTATCTCCTTTTACCCAATTGATTACACATCTTACATGTGTGCTATCGCAACAATCCCCGTCCTTTTTGCATGTAGTATCTCCTAGCTGTTTACACTGATCGGAATAAATTAATTGAAATAATAAAAAAGTTGAAAAGAGAATAATATAAATGTTGATTGAAGTTGTCATTTTTGTTTGAATTTTAAAATATTTAAATACGATTTCTTAATAAAAAGAAATTATTAAATAAAGATTTCCTTTTTACTGGAGAATTGTAATATAAATTTTATATTAGGCAATATTCATAATTGCTATAATTTAGACCCAATACTCTTCTTGATTTCGTTTAATTCGCTGCAAAACTGTAAACTCACTACCTCTTTATAATTGACGGCGTATTATTGAAGAAATTAGCGCAAAACCCGCAAAAATACATTACTACGAAACATTATAGCCTAATTTGAATTTAATACCGTTAAAAATTAAAAATCTTTAAAGAATCTTAATTCAAAAAATCTTTAAAAAATGCATTTTTCGATCCTCTCATAGGGTGTGGTTATAAGGGAAAGTGTGTCTCTTTCAGAGAATGTTTCTATTAGGAGATTTACGGTATATATTTTAATTTTACTTATAAAATAAAGAAAATATTTAATTAAAAATGAATTATTCTAAAAATAATATTATTATTTAAATAAGCAAGTATATTTTATTTATTTTAAAATATTTTATTTAAATTATTTGCTTATCTGAATTTCAATATTTTAAAAAAGGGAGAAAGAATTATTTTCCAATCTTAATTCGTTCCAAAAAATAAAACTCTCAATTCGTCCAACACGCCAATCTCCTCAATTCTCCCCCGCTTAATTCGTCCCATCTAAAAATCCAAGGAAGCTTTCGGACGAATTGAAGGGGGACGAATTATCAGAGGAATGAATTAGAGGTGGGACGAATTATAAGCAAAGAATTGAGAAAAGTAGAGGGGCTGACGTGTAAATTATAGCTAAATTTAAAATTTTTTTTAATTATTTGATTAACTGCATTTCTGTTAATTTTAGGGGATAGAAATTTCCCTCGTGAAGAATAATTTAAGAGCCAAAAGCCATTATTTTCCTGGCTCAAAAAGCAATATTTTTGGCTCTATCAAAATTAGAAATTTCCAACATGAAGAATAATTTAGGAGCCAAAAGCCATCATCCTTTTGGCTCAAAGAGCAATATATGTGGATCATCCAAAATTATCATCATTGCTTATGATCTACGCATTTTAAATTCAAAAAAAATTTATTCGTCAAGGCTTTTAAACGACGCAAAAATTAAAGGAAATTTTATGGAATTATCAACAAATTTCAAAATTATTTTTATTAGAAATCGGCCTGAATCTTGTTCCAATTCGGATTAGGCCGGGTTTTCCCGGCCCGATAGTAACAACATTTGCGGACATTTAGAGAGCAAAGGAGCAAATTATTTATTTATTTCACATAAATACAGGTGTTATTGAATAGGTAAAAACATGTTCAAAAATCCAATTTCTCTCCTCTACTTCTTCACCTATCCCTTTCATCATCATCTTGTTAATCCTCAATGCCAACTAAAAATATATAATTAATCTCGCTAATATTTTAAATAATTTTAGACCAATCCCAACAAATAAATTTTTTATGAAGCTTAAAGCTAAAGTGTGCACATGATAAGAAATCGAGAAATATATTTGGGTGCCGGAATTTTGGTCACCACGATTTTTCGGAACTTTGGTCACTAGCGGAATTTTGGTCACCAAGTCAAAAAGCGGAATTTTGGGCATTGAAATTTTGGTCACCAAACTGAAAAATTTAATTTTATCTTAAACTGATATAAATGTAATAAAATAATGTTTTTCAACCCCCAGTTGATCAATTTCAATGTTTATCACCTTCCCGGCTGATCACTCTCTCGGGTGATCACTCTCGATCACTCTCCCGGAGGATTGATTAACTGGCAGAGTGATCTACATTGAAATTGATCAACTGGGGGTTGAAAACATTATTTTATTACATTTATATCAGTTTAAGATAAAATTAAATTTTTCAGTTTGGTGACCAAAATTCCTATTGGTGACCAAAATTTCAGTGCCCAAAATTCCGCTTTTTGACTTGGTGACCAAAATTCCGGTGACCAAAATTCCGTACACCCTATATTCAATCTTTTCATAGAGATCTTTTCACCCCCATCAGTGAGAGGTTAAAACAGTAATTGATAGAGATCGGCCAAACAAATATTTGGTCAAATAAAATCAAATATTTGATCAAATTTTATTTGAATTTATTTGATCAAATATTTGTTTGACCACTTTTTGGAAAAATTTGATTTTTTCAAATATCAAATAATTTTCAAATAATTTGATCAAATATTTGTTTGATGAGGGTCAGAAAATTCAAATATTTGATCAAATATCAAATAATTTGAAAATTATTTGATTTTCGTATAAAAATGTAAAGTTGGCATATTTTTCTAAGAATAACGATATGGTAACCGAGATTTTCGCTCAAGACAAATTATTTGTGATAGCCAAAATAGTTTTTCCTGGTCATGAAACCGGATTTTGGGTTTTGTCGGACCGGATCCGGCCTGATTCCAGTTTTAATCCGTAAAAATAATTTTTGGAGTCAGTCAGAATATACCAGGATTCCGGACCGGAACTGTTGTTAGCGGGGATATCTAAATATTTTTAAGGACTATAAAGGATACTGGTGGATTTGTGGGTAGCAGAGGTGGATCGGAATTCCGATTTCCGACTTCCGATTTCCGAGTTCCGACTTTTGAGACAATTCCGATTTCCGCTCTTCGGATTTCCGACACCTCTGACTGTTCCGATCCACCTCTGGTGGGTAGTAAAAGGGATTAAAGAAGATACAAAATTCCTTCTTTATAGAAAAATAAGAAAAATGTTAATTTGGTTGGATATCATGTAAGTTGGATGGATATCGACGGATTGAAGGATTTTTGGATTAAAAGGGATATAGGGGGATTTGTGATGGATATCGAGTGATTAAGTGAGATATAGATATTCTAAGTGTCTGATATCCATATTTCAACTATTATCCCTATATCATTTCATAGCCCATTTAGCACTCCTCATCCCCTTATATCCCCGTTAAGCCTTACAATTCCCTTATATCACCCTTAATCCCTACACATCCATCTTAATCCTCCGATATCATCCCCATATCCTAATATACTCCATATACTCTCAAATACCCCGATCTATATGTTATTCCAAAATTTTTAAAAAAATTTGATATTTGATCAAATATTTGACTTTGCAAATCAAATTTTTTCAAATATCAAATAATTTTCAAATTATTTGATCAAATATTTGATTTTGCCTTCCGGCCGATCTCTAGTAATTGACCAGGCTAGTTAGTTCAGTTACCGTATTTCCTATAAAAGTACTCCCGGGATTACTATTTTTCAACCCTCCTCCAAAGGGGAGTATTAGTTGAAGGGGAGTTCTAATTCAGGGTGAGTCTTTAAAAAATTTTACAGTAAAATTTCACCCTTTATTGTATAGACTAGAATATTCCCCCAATGCATCTCACAATAAATTTTGAATATCATTTCTGGATTAAAAGTATTTCTGATAATATGAATAGGTTTTCCTTTAATTGGTGTATGTTGTCCATCCAAACTTTTACTATGGTCAACGATTTCAATATTCGAAATAAAATTTGAACAATCTTTTGTTTCAGTATGCTAAATTTTTTAAAATTATTTTTACATATGTACGAGTTGAAACTACTAATAACCGGGACTAAGAATCTAAAAAATAAGGCGATCCCCATCGATTTTTCGGATTATAAATCGGATTATGCATCGGGATTTTAATAATAATAATAATAATCCGATCCGGCATATCCTGATCCCGGCTCTGGATCGGGATTGGCCGAAGCCGGGATTTGACTTTCGGTCTCTGGATCAGAAATTGGGATTTTAAAAAACCGGGATAACCCCGCCCAATCCCGAGAGGGATCCCAATCACGCTCAAACCTGTTCTTATATCGTTCCCCCTCCACTCCCCTAGAAAACAATTTCGAAGTATTGAAAACCCATTATGTGACGATTAAGCAAGGAAAGGGGTAACGTTCTTAACTATTAACAAATCCTTTTTTAATTACCTTAATGATCAAATCAAGCAATGTTTGGTTGTCTATACTAATTCTAACATTAGGAATATTTTTGCCTCCATTAATTAACAATTCTAGTAAATGCTTGTTGCATTTTTCTTTTTTTCCGTGTAGTTCAAAGTCTATATCAATGTAATCAGTAAGAAATAAATGATCCAAATGAAATTTTACTGAATTGTTTAAGTTATGGTTGCTAAACCATGAAACACAACGTTCTGCTCGAACTTGAGTTGGAATATATTTTTCGTTGTCAAAAAGAATTTTAATCATTTCTGGATTGAAAAAATATCGGAAAAATTCTATATATTCAAAATAACAAAGAAATAATTTTTCCAGCCAGCAACGGACAATCTTCATTTCTTCAATGTTTTGCGGATTGATAGGCAATTTTAAAATATAATTAACTGAAATTTTATGTTTAGAAAAATATATACGCATAAATAGAAAGATTTAAGCTCAAGCTTATTGATAGGACTGATCAGAACATCGCTGATATGATCGTTAAACAAATATTATTTTAATTCCTAAAACTATGCAGGAGATAACACACCAATCCGGTCTATAGTTATCGATTCAAACCCAACCGAAAAATTGAACCGAAGAATTTGGAATGACTGACGGTCACCTGAAAACCTCCGGTCAATTAAAGATGCTAGTTCACTTTCAACCGCCTAATTAACTTCTGCGTTAGCCGAAGGTTAAATAGCTATAGTATTCGATTATGGATATGACTGTTCAAACCCGATGCTCGTCTGAATGCCCGGACATTCTATGTATTTCTCAATAACCTTTCAAATGGAAATTCCCTAAATAAATGTGTCCGCAAAAAGGGAAAAAGTCTACAAAAATTTTGGTAGAGATACGAAAAAGAAACATGCAAAATTAACATTTTAAATCTCTTAAAGGATATTTAAATTTTAAAACCTGCAAATCTTTTATCATTCAACTTTACAGACGTAAATAATTTTTGAGTTGGAGGAGTATCACAAGTACTTAGATAAACAGGGATGCGTCTATCCACAGCAGACTGCCACTTAAAAAGGGGAAATTAATTTTTTTATCAAATCTCTTTACTATTAACCTTTTTCAAAAGATTATCTTCCAATAAAAAATTAAAACTTTCAGATTTCAAATTAACAATTTTATAAACAAATCTTGCAGGGCATCTCAAAATCACTCTAAAATTTTATTTTTTTTAAACCGTAAAAATTAAATTGGACCATGCCAGTTTTTACTGAATCCAATCTTCTACAAGCTAATAATCTCTCATTTTGTCTAATTAAACAATAAAAATAATAATTGGTTTGTTGGACAGATAATAGTTGATTAAATTTAAGAAATTTAAGAATGTCTAGTTTTACTTCAACAGGAAGATTTAATAACATTTTTTTCTATAATTTTTATTTTAGAAAATAATTTTTTTTTAAATTAAAAATTAGAAAATCGAAGAAAAAAATTTTTTTGCAAAAGCAAGGAAAAAAATACTCAATAAAAAATGACCATCAATAACAAACTCTCCCCCATTTTATATGTTCAATTTGAAAAAAGATGGCTTGCTTCCCCTTACATTTATTTGAATTTACCCCTATTTGTCCCTTGAAAGAGGAAGAATGACATAAATTCTCACAAAAAATGAGAGAATCAAGCTTTAGAGGGAGGGGGGGGGGCAATTTTAGAATAAATAATAGGGACAGGCCCAAAACGGAGCGCGGCCAAAACGGCGCAAAGCCATAACTTACTTCAAGATTTCTGAATCTTATCAAATTTAGTATTAAACTATTCCTCTCAACGGGCTAAGGAGATTGATACCAAAATTGTTAAGGTCAAAAGTTTTCCATCAAGTTTCGGTTCGATAGATCGAATCGGGCTTCGATTTTTGGCCAGAAAAAGACCGGTACGGCCCGAAAAAATTCTTTTGATCAAAATCCTATCAAATTATGCATTAAAGCATATTCTTCCACAACCGCAGCCAGGCATTCAACTTGAATCCCCCGTTGAATCTAGTTAAAATTATTGTAAGGAAGAGAAAGATTCAGCTGGCTGGCAGCACTAGGCGGGGGTTTAAGATGTATTAAAAGAGAAGGTGAAAGCAGCGTCCTGGTAGCTCAGTTGGTAGAGCACCTGTACGTGATTAGCGAAAGCGCCTAGCAATAACTTCCAGGAGGCTCAGTATCGAAGCCTGCCCGGGATTAAACTTTTACCTCGATTAAACTTTTTCAAACAAAAAATGAGTAATAATAAAAAAGATTATTTAACACATTTAAAATTCAAAAAACAATATAAAATAAAAATAAATTATAGCTTTCCATCAACTTTCTTAACGATCAAAATATGCCCACACATTTCATCACGATAAATTTTGAATAAAATTTTTGGATTTCGAGAATTTTTAATTATGTTTTCTTCAATAATTGTTTTATCTTGATTCAATATAATTTCAATATACGAGATAAAATTTGAACAATCCTTTGTTTCAATATGCTAAATATTTGAAATTATTTTTAAATATTTTAATAAAGGTTCGACATTTTCCCTTCCTCAGAGTTTGGTAATTTAAATTAGAGAAGCAAGAGGTCGAGGTTTTTTGAAAAAGCCGAGGCCGAGGATCGCCGAGGCTTGAAAAGCCGAGATCGAGGGGCTAATTTGGACCAGAGACGACGTTCCAAGGCCCTAGATCAACAAAATGGAGGTTGAGATTTGAAAATGTGCGAAGACCTTGGCCTCGGCGAGGCCTCGACCTCGTGGTACTCTAATTTAAATACCAGCAACGGACCCTAACAAAGCAGAATTTTACGATAGACGGACGCGGAGGAAAATAAAATTTTTTATTCATTATTAAAATCAAAATTCTCATTTTGTGATGTGTCTGCATTTCTGAGTGTCGTAAAATATTGTGACTGCAATTTAGAGGGTAGTGGATATTTAAAGTGACCAAGATCATGAATAACAAATCACCAAATACCCGGATCCTAAATTAAATCTGCTCTCTATAATTACCTTTATAATCAAATCCAACAATGCTTGCTTCTCTATGTTAAATCTAATTAAATGGATATTTTTGCCTCCATTACTTAACAATTCTAAAATATAATTGTTGCATTTATCTTTTTTATCAAAGCATTTAAATTTAATTCCAAGTTCATTAATAATAATTAAATGATCCAAAGTAAATTTTAATAAATTTTTGATATTGAGGTTTCGATAAGTTAATGTCCCGTATTTTGAGCGAAATTGAGTTGGAATATATTTTTCGTTGTCAAAAAGTATTTTAATCATTTCTGGGTTGAAAATATAATCTTTAAATTCTGCATGATCAAAAGTACAAATAAATAATCTTTCCAGCCAACAACGGACAACCTTCATTTCCTCGATGTTCTTTGGATAGATAGGGAGTTTTAAATAATCTTAAAGTTTGAATAAGAGTGTTGTGTAAATTAAAGAAAAGGATTTTAAGACACCGGATTTGAGAATCTCAGATCACGTCTTCCTCCTGACTTAGAACCAGAACTGTTCTTTATATTTATTTATTTTTTAATAAATATAAAGTGCAAATATTTATTTCTAAATGTTTATTTAATTAAAAGATATAGAGGGATTTAGGAGAATAGGGGGAAAATATTGTGATTAAGATGAATCCTTGTTAGCATGTAATTCTCTTTAGCTCGAAAACATGTTCTGTTATATTTTTTCTTGTTTCTTCTACCCAGGCTCGCACGTCTAGTGAGGTGGGTCGGAACAGTCAGAGGTGTCGTAAATCGGAAGAGCCAGAATTGGAACGGATCAAAAGTGGGAACAAAAGTGGAATCGTAAATAAAATTTTTTTCTGAAATCGGAAATCAGAAGTAAAAAAACGTTGGAAATCAGAATTCCAATACAACTCTGCAGTCTAGGTAGAAGAAATAGTTTTATAATTGGGGAAAAAAATTTTAATCCATTGAAAACATTTCCATTAAAATTTTATTTAATATTATAAATATTATTTCACAAAATTATCATTCCACTTTTTAATTTTATCAATCTTTTATTTTTATTTCTTAGAGGTATACTCCCTCATAATTCTTTAATAATATTACTAAATATTTGGTGGTGTTGTAGTATAATATTTTTTGTTATGATGATTGTGGTGATTTCCTTTGTGAAATCCTCCTTCTGAAGATGAAGAGGACTTATCTCCTCTATGTAATCCCTCTCCTCCTCGAGGATGTCCAAAATGTCCATCCACATTTTCAAAATTAATTTGAATTAAAATTAGAATAATTAAAGAGAAAATTAATAGGTGTTTGATCATTTTTAAGGGAAATTTGGTTTTTTATGACAAGTTTTCTTCTTGAGGTAATATTTTCAATAAATTTATATACTCCATTTTTTTGAATTTATTTAGTAAATTCCTTTAGATTTGCATATTTAGTCTCAAATATTTTTTTCAATAAAGATAAACAAAAATAGCAACAAAGAACTTTGACTACCTTTCTACGAGGCTTTAAATTTAGATTTTATGTCGGGATCCCGATCAGTGCAATTCTGCTAAAGACTTCTTATATACCTAATTCCAGAATCTCAACAATGGCCCAAACCCCTCATTAAATTTATGGCCATTCTTTCTCTTCCTCTCCTCCGTCCCTCTCCTCCTATTAAAAATCAGAATATGGCGAGATAACCTAGAATACTATTGACGTAAAGTTTGTCGGGATTTTAATCTCGACTTTTGATTGCTACTCAAGTTTGTTCTCTATTTGGTGAAATAAACAAAATAAGTTTTAAATACGCCCAATTTAAAAATTCAAAATAAAAATATGACTCACAAAAATATTTTATTTATGTCTTCACTATGAATCATTAAATATTTCAAATATTTAAATCTCATCCAAATTTTGATATTTATTAGTTTGATTAGTAATACTTTTCTCGAGAATTATCAAAACAGTTAAGAGTCCAGTGCCAAACACTGACGAAAGTCGAAAAACTCCTACCGCCCAATGAGTTTTCTATTGTTATAATTTTAAAGCCTCTTATTTTTCAGAATAATTTTTGAAAAGAAATTTTTTTGACTTTTTTAAAATTTAAAAGGAAATAAATTTCAAATTTTTTCGAAAAAATATTCGTCAAAATATTTGAGGTATTTAGTAAATGATTTTTTTGATTATTAACAATTTCCTTCCAAAAATAAATAAAAAATAAATAAAATATCCAAAATTCATAAAATGTATACAAAAATATTTTTTTTCTTTTTATTACATTATCTTTTTAATTAAAGCGGGTCAATTAATAGAATTAATTTTGAACTTTAAAAGCTAGTTATTATTGAAATTTAAATTTTTATTACAATTTTATTCCGAATCATAAAGAAAATAATATATTATAGTAATTTAAATTTTATATTTTAGTGTCCCATATTCCTTAAAAATCATAGAAAAACGGGTGGATGAAAATCAACTAGA